GAGAAGGACCAGAAGAAGTCGATAGGGAGCGATTTGACAGTGAAGCTCCGGAAGAGTTCTGTGGGTGAGCTGGCCGATGTGGCTCCCTCGCCGGTAGTTTTGGGTGATGGGTTTGTGGACTCTTCTGTTGGGTGCGATGCTACCCTGGGGTATAGTGGTAGTGTTGTGTGTGTGTGGTGCTCTGTGTTTTTTTCTCAATGGATATGTGGATGAATTGTGCGACGTTGAACGTCAATGGGTTGAACTGCCGTCTGAAGCAACGTCAGCTTGTATCGGTGGCCCGCTATCACAAGTTGGATGTTATGTTTATTCAGGAGCATAATGTTAAGTGTATGGACCGACTAGAGGTGTTGTTGAAATATTTCGAGGTGTTGCTGAACTCTCCGGTGTTATCAAAGGGCGGCACGATGATATTGTTGGCGAAGAGGGCGAATGTTGTAGTGGTGAGTTTGGAAATGGATGACTGTGGCAATGTAATTTTGGCGCATGTGTCGTTTATGGGTTCTGTGTTTCCCCCGCTGAATGTGTATGCATCCTCAGGGACGCATAGTCGGACTGAGAGGGAGTTGTTGTTCTCGGATGGTCTGCTTTATTTTTTACGGAATGACACGAGGAGAATGATTTTGAGGTGACTTTAATTGTGTTATATCGGTCCGGGACTGTAGTACTCATCCTCAGGCGTCTGTCTCTCCTGCTTTAGTTAGGACGTTGAAATCTATACACTTCCGTGATACCTGTTTCCTAGCGGGTGGTGTCCCGGCCTATACTTTTGTTAGTAAGGAGTATGGTTCTCGCATTGATCGCGTGTATTTGGACGTCTTATGGTCAGGTCCACTCCTGGGCCACAGTTCCTGTCAGTTTTTCGGACCATAGTATGGTGGTGATGGGCGTTTTTATTAATGATCAGATGCGGGTGGGTAGGGGGTGGTGGAAGCTAAATTGTAGTTTGCTTAGATGCCTGTTGGTGTTAAAGGAATTTGGTGTGATGTGGAGGGCGCTGGTAAGGCGGAAAGCAGACGTTGTGTGTGTGTGTGCTGGATTGGTGGGGGCTGGTGTAAAGTGGAGTGCAAACGTTTCTTTGGTCGTTTATCGAAGCATCTTGCAGCGGAACGGTATGGTCTTTTGAATTTGTTGCAGATTCGATTGCGTCAGCTTTATGAGCTCATGGACCAGGGTTTGGATAGGTATGATGAGATTGTATTGTTGAAGAGGAGGATAAATGGGTTGCGGGAGGAGGTGGCTCAGGGTATCCATATCCGTCTAATAACGTCTGAACGTTTCGATGGTGAGAAACTCTCTGCACACTTATTGGCTAAAGTTAAGTCTCCTAGGTACTCTACCATGATGACTGGTATTCGCAGGGTGGATGGTACGGTCCTCACTAATACTGATGGGTTAGTGTGTTATGTTCGGGAGGAGTTGGGGGGTTGTATCGGAAGGTAGTGTGTGTTTCGGCTGATTGTGGGTATTTTCTCAGTTTTTGCCAAAATATGTTGTCTGTTGAGGACAATGTACCATTACTTCGGGAGTTTACGGATAGGGAGATTTGGGAGATAGTTCAGGGGTTAGCGACTGGGAAGGGGCCTGGGTCTGATGGGTTTCCGGCGGAATTCTATGGTTGCTTATTGTATGGTGATTGGGTTGGACTTTTCGGAGGTGGTACGGTATAGTCTGAGGCATGGTGCCCTTAGTGGGTTAAAATCGTTTGTTATTATTCGCTTTCTGCCGAAATCGGGGGATGTGCAGCTGCTCTCAAATTGGAGACCGTTGTCTCTCCTGTACCAGGACTATAAAATTCTTTCAAAGTTACTGGCGAATAGGCTTCGGTTGGTTTTGGGAGTGTATTTCGCCTGGGCAGTTTTGTGGTGTTCCGGGTAGGTCGATTGTTTACTGTAATAATTTGATAAGGGATATGATTTACTATTTTTCAGACAATATTGTTCCATCGGCTATGATAAATTTAGATTGGTACAAAGCTTTTGATATGGTGGATATGAGTTTTGTGTTTCAGGTAATGGAGAAGTTTGGGTTCGGGCCGCAGTTTGTCTCTTGGGTCAGAATGTTGTATAGGGGTTGCCAGAGTAGTGTATGCATTAATGGGGTATTGTATTAACAGGGTGTTGTCCGTGTGCCTTCCATTCCTCCTGTGTTTGGGTTCGTGTGACAACATTGTGTGTGTGATTGCACAGCTGTATGGTGGTATTGTGCCTGGGGTGTCATACGGATGTATGTGGTACTATGATTTGGAACAATTTGGGTGTGTATGGGTTTGTTTGCAGTATGGTTTAATGGCTTCATTACATGTTGTGCTTCCCTGTTTTCCCAGTTGCTGGATGGTTACAGGTAATTAAATGCCTATGTGTATTTTACGGGGTGCTGTCCCCCCCCCCACCCCCCTGCGATATTGTTTCCTGTGGAGGGAAGTTTATGTTATACGGTCACTTGGTTTTATCATGTTTTCTTCGGGTTCGGAGTGAAATGTATTTGTGTTTCATGTTGTATTCTTGGGTCCGTTTTTATGCTGCCCTTCCAATGTAAATTTGTAGACTTTGAACTAAAATGTGTTCCGTTTTACTTGAGTTGAGTGACTTATCATTTATGCCTTTATTTTGTTACCTTTATACTATGCATTGTCTTAGGATTGGGTAGTGTGAGATAGCTATGTATTTGCTAGGGTTTAATGTATATTTATTTTGTAAATACTTTGCCTTAAAAAAATTGGTTGTCAACTGTTTGCTCTATACCTTTATATATATATATATATATATATATATATATATATATATATATATATATATATATATATATATATACTGTTTGCTGTTTTATTTATACCTGTATAAATTGTATTGTATTCATTTTAACTGTGTTACATTGTGAACTTACGTTTGTATGTTATTTTCATTTTTGATTTCTTATTATTGTATATTACTTTTCTTTCATGTTTCTGCGTGTTTTGTATTTGTCCTTTTTTTATTGTGTGTATCCGGCCTTCTGGTCTGTACGCCGTTCGTGTGTTGTTTGGGTATGTTTTCCTTTGAATTATATTAAACTGTGTTTTCATGTGTTTTATGGGTTATGCACATGTTTAGGTGGTTGGATATACGCCTTCCCCTTGTGTTGTGTTCATTTATGTTCCCTAACGTTTACCTTTATTCGTAAGTCCTGTCATTTTTCTTTCTGTTCTGAGGGAAGAGTTGTTTAATCTGTGTTGGTTGGTTTCATTTATTATGGGTTTATGTGTGTGCTTTCTGTCTCACTGTGTACTGATGCTTCGGTAACTGTTTTTATATTGCATTTGTGTGTTTTATAAATAAAAAGATGACCAAAAAAGTGGAGGCTAATAGATCACCCTTACATTTCTTGTTCTTTCCTGATTCCATGTATGACTGGATGTCCTGTAAGGTGGGGATGTTGCATGAGCTTGTAGCTTGTTTTTAATCTACATTGTGTGGCCTTTCATACAGAATAGGGTAGCAGCAAATTGCTGTATATACCTAAGTTTGTTAGAAAAGAAAATACATTGTTTGAGAGGAGTCTTGTAGAAACTGGTACGCGTAATTATGATGGCTCCATGATTCAGTGATTAGTTCTAGTGAAAATCGCGAAGTTGTGTAGAATAATAAACCCCACATTGTTTGAGTTAGGAAAACACTATTTGTCAAATATTGATACTGTTCTTAAAAGATTCCCCCATTTTGCACCCGCAAGATAACGTAAGCTTTTAAGGGTTGACAGATGTTAATCTTCTTGTTTGAGGAGCTGTTCACTTGAGACAGTTAAGCAAGTCCCAGCTGTGTCTGGGTACAAGTGACAGAATGAACAACCCAGCGGGTTTTCTTCCTATTGGGGAGTGTTGTACATGCTGCTATGGCGGTGTGTCCACTCACAAGATGAGTGGCGCTGCCCAATACTGTCACTATGGCGGTGTGTCCACTCACAAGATGAGTGGCGCTGCCCAATACTGTCACTATGGCGGTGTGTCCACTCACAAGATGAGTGGCGCTGCCCAATACTGTCACTATGGCGGTGTGTCCACTCACAAGATGAGTGGCGCTGCCCAATACTGTCACTATGGCGGTGTGTCCACTCACAAGATGAGTGGCGCTGCCCAATACTGTCACTATGGCGGTGTGTCCACTCACAAGATGAGTGGCGCTGCCCAATACTGTCACTATGGCGGTGTGTCCACTCACAAGATGAGTGGCGCTGCCCAATACTGTCACTATGGCGGTGTGTCCACTCACAAGATGAGTGGCGCTGCCCAATAAACTCGCCCCTCGGGGCAAAATTTAAATGGGAATATTAGATGAACTTATAGCTAGTTTTTTTTTTACACTTTGTAATCTTTCACATAAAATAGAGTAGTAGCACATTGCTGTGTATATCTAAACTTGTTAATAACAAAACACAATAATTAATTATATTGTTGATTAATTTATTTATTTACAAGAAGGTACAATGGGTTTGTTAGATTACATAATATTTGTATTTTTACATTCTTGCAAAGCCAGTAACACACAATGTTTTGGGCAGATTATAATTATAATAATAATTAATTATTAATTATCATAAATCAGCCACAGTTGAAGCGTTGCACTGCATCCGTCTACACGTACAGGACATACTAGTTCCTACTGTTGACACGTGCGATTGAAACCGGATGTCCTAACGAAAGGGAAACCCGGAGACGGAAGTATGAGTATGAATGAGGCTGAGTGTAGCGCATTGAGGCTGGGACCAGGTGCCATCCCCGCGGAGGCTCACAGCCTCATCTGTACCCCCTCCACCCTCCCTCACCCACGGAACCCCACCTGTTGAGCTCCTCACCTGCCACTAACCTCATATATGCTCCTCAACACCTTCACTCGACTCCAATTATTTATATTTTGTGGCCGTGGAAGGTGTTAGTGTTGGCGTGGAGGCGGCAGCGTGGAGGCTTGGATCCCTTCACTAGCGGAGACTGCCTCTTGGTGCTACCATCTATCGGCTGCGGCGCTCTGTTAGTTTTCTGCGCTTATTAGTTTAGTTTGACACCCTTTTTATGTGTGAAGTGAACGCGGGATTGTGAAACTGGGCTGTTTTCTTTATAAAATTGGAAAAAATAAGAGTAAATACTTTAGAGGAGGGAATTGTAATGCGTTAGATATAGATACGTTAAAGAGTAGTTGTTTTGGTGGGCCAGAGCATCATTACCTGCCGATACGTTGATGTCAACCTGTGAACAACCCGAGTGCCTTAATTACAAACTTTTGCAAATGTTTACTGAAAGGTTACATAAATATATATCCAAGTAATGGAGTTATGACATTTATTGTGCCTCTAGTACGACGGAGGAGTGTTAATAGGTGTGGCGGAGAGTGGTAGTAAATGTCACCAGGGCAAGTGGAACAGAGAGCTCGACTCCACCTCTCGTAGTGACCCAAGTAAGTTGCATGATCATAATTATTTTGTAAGTATTTTAATATCGTAGTTTGCTGGCTGGTTCAGAAGTGGGCTGATTGGAGTGAGTTGAATCACGTCAGTGTGAATGAGACCCAACTGATGGGGTCTTTAGGCAGAAATAATGTTCGCATCAGTTAAGGGATACTTTCTCTCTCTCTCGCCATGTCATCAGAAAGTCTCTTGTTATGTTCTTTGTCTCTGTTTTTGTTTTATTTGCTCGCCATCACTGTTATCCCTTTTCCCACTTTGAATGGGTTAAACAGGCAAGACACTGGACATTGAAGGATAATGTTTTTATTCAAGTTTGTATTTTATGGACCCCATATCCGGTACAGAAATATTAGAGCAGGTATGTGGTAATTAGCTATTATCATTATTGATAGAGATTGGTAAAATGCATTAAATCTTGTAGAAATATTAGGATAAATTACCATGCTTAAAATTCACAAAATGAATTTTACATTATTTATCATAAATTGTCTTAATATATAATGTAATAGGCCTAGCCAAATAAACTATCTTCCATCTTACCATAAACTGTTTCCTCTTGGGGGACAGGAAGCCTGGTAAGCTCATTGAATTTTCCTAGGCCAACTGTTGGCCTTCCCCAGGATGCTGCCTACATTCTTCATATGAGATTAAGAAACAAGTAGTGTATTGTGAAGACTAATAATAAACCGAAGCTACCTTATAACTCTAATATCTCCATTGGTCAAACTATTATGTATTAGCGATAAGACCTACCATTAATGTATAATGACTTACTGTAAATATATAGCTCTTGAAATAGCACATTCTCTGTAACTAGCTGACATTGTAACTATAAGGTGTGAAGGATAGATGAAATTGTTTATGTAATAATCTAAGATGAGGTCTGATAAAGACCGTTTGTGCCCTCTGTAATGCTTTTTGTGCTACCACTCACAGGATGAGTATGGGGTGCACAATAAACTAGCCGCCTCCGGTGGCAACAATTAATTCTTCATTCTCTGACCAGGCCTTATGGTAACTTAATCAACCAGACTCTTGCTGCATGCAAACATTACGCATGCTAGTGGTTTTACAAGAATGTAAGAACTCTGTGTGTGTAATTACCTAAGTGTAGTTACATTGATGAGAGCTACGCTCGTGGTGTCCCGTCTAGCCAGCACTCTTTGTCATATAACTCTTTGAAACTACTGAAGGTTTTGGCCTCCACCACCTTCTTAACTTGTTCCAACCGTCTACCACTCTGTTTGCGAAAGTGAATTTTCTTGTATTTCTTCGGCATCTTTGTTTAGTTAGTTTAATATGTGTGTGTGTGTTTGTGTGTATTTACCTAGTTCACCTAGTTGCGTTTGCAGGGATTGAGCTTTGCTCTTTTGGCCTGCCTCTCAACTGTCAATCAACTGTTTACTAACTACTTTTTTTTTCACAACACACACACACACCCCAGGAAGCAGCCCGTGACAGCTGACTAACTCTCAGGTACCTATTTACTGCTGGGTAACAGAGGCATTCAGGGTGAAAGAAACTTTGCCCATTTGTTTCTGCCTGGCGTGAGAATCAAACCCGCGCCACAGAATTACGAGTCCTGCACGCTATCCACCAGCTGTTAAGTGAAAGGGAATTTTATATTATCTGTAAAATAATAATAAATCAGTAATCACTATGCAAACTTTGGTCAATAAGACAAGACCTTTCAAAGGAAGACAGTCAAAAGCTAAAATTGAACCTCATTGAAGCAAATGTCTAAATGGGTATAGAAATGAAGAAAGATTTTTTTTTCTACAAAGTGTTAGGGACTGGAAAGCTAGTGAAATGGTAGCAACAAAAACAAAGCAACAAAATCATTAGTAGAAGGTGGAGTAAAGAACAAAAGGAAAGGGGAACATGTTCCTGAAAATTGTACAGTATATACCAACATAGATGGAGTTCATCTATTGAAATTGTATATACCAACATAGATGGAGTTCACGGCTCCAATAAAAAATATTGGAACCGAAAGATATAATTCAGCTTAAGGTCCCAAATATTGTCGCATTAACAGAAACAAAACTTGAAGAAAATATTTTAAATGAGATCATACTTCCAAGGGGCTACTCAGTTTGGAGACGTGACAGAAAAACTAGGAAGGGGGAAGGAGTGGCTGTGCTGGTGAAAGAACACCTTTAGATAAAAAGAGTTAATACTTGACAAATCTCGAAGTTGACATAATAGCATTGCAGGTCTGGAATCAGGATGATAAACTGATAATTGTAAATGCCTACAGCCCACCAGCAAGTAGGTTTGTGGGGCATGGACGAAGGAAGAACTGAATGACAAACGAGAGGACCTCATAATGGTCATGAGAGATTATAGTAAAAGCAGATAAAGATAAATCACGGTTGTTGGTACTGGGGACTTCAACTTTAAAGCAATAGACTTTGAGGCCTTCAAAGCAAGAACAGAGGACATTTGGCAAATTTGTAAACCTCATTCTGGAGACATTCGTGTATCAACACTTCAAGCAGGCCACAAAAATGAAGGAAGAAGGGATGTTCTGTCAGTACTGGATCTAATATTCACCAGCAAAGAAGAGATATTTGACATCCAATACCTTCCTTGCTTGGGAAAGTGTGATCATGTCCTGTTGGACATTAAATATTTTTTTGAGAGATAATCTAGAAGAAAATGGGGACATTGAAACAGTTGTTAATCTTGATTTCAAAAGAGGACACTATGGGGAACTTAGAAAAAATTTTAATGTGTAATTGGACAGACTTGTTGCTAGGCAAGGAAGTTAATGAGATGTCAAATGTTGCAAAATATATGATGAAGGCACACAAACATTTATACCAAAACAGAGATGTAGGACTAGTAAACAGGATTGGTTAAAAAAAAATTGCAAGAGGGCCAGAGACCAAAAGACACAAAAAATGGAATCAATGTAGGAAGAGGCCAGTCTTCCAAACATACCAGTGATACAAAGATGCGAGAAACAACTACACAGCAGTGAGGAGAGAGGCAAAAAGAAATTTTGAAAAAGGGATAGTGGACAAATGTAAAATAGAACCAGGCCTAGTCTATAAATTCATAAACAACAAATTGCAGGTAAAGGATAATATTCAGAGGTTGAAAATGGGAAACAATCATGAAAAATGAAAAGGAAATGTGTGAAACATTAAACAAAAAGTTTCAAAGTGCATTTGTACAAAATTAAATTTTCAGGGAACCAGACAAAATAAAAATTCCAGAGAACAACATAGAGCACATAGAGGTGTCTAGAGACAAAGTGAAAACAATGTTCAAGGAGCTAGATAAGAACAAAGCAGTTTGCCCAGATGGAGTTTCACCATGGGTTCTAAGAGAATGTGCACTCAAACTCAGCATTCCACTTCAATTGATTTTTCAGGCATCCTTGTGTGCAGGAGTCGTAGCAGATGTGTGGAAAAAGGCTCGCATAGTTCCAATCAACAAAAGTGGCAGGAAGGAGACCCCCCTCAATTATAGACCTGTATCGCTGACAAGTGTTATAGTCAAAATATTGAAAAAAATAATTAAAACTAAATAGGTAGAACACCTGGAGGAAAAACAATATATCATACAGTCATTATGTCTTTTGATCTGGAAGATCCTGTGTGACGAATTTACTTGGTTTTTATGATCGAGCCACAGTGATGTTACAGGAGAGATGTTTGGGTTGACGGCATCTATCTGGACCTAAAAAAAAGGCTGTCGACAGTTCCACATAAGAGGTTGTTCTGGAAACTTTAACATATTGGAGGAGTGACAGGTAAGCTTCTAACATGGTTGAAAAATTTTCTGATAAAAAATGAGGGCAGTAATCAGAGACAATGTATCGAACTTGAGAAATGTCACAAGTGGGATACCACAGGGTACAGTTCTTGCACCGGTAATGTTCATTGTCTACATAAACGATCTACCAGATGGAATACAGAATTATATGAACATGTTTGCTGTTGATGCTAAGATAATAGGGAAGATAAGAAACTTAGATGATTGTCATGCCCTTCAAGAAGACAAAATAAGTACTGTATATGGAGCACCACTTGGCAAATGGAATTTAATGTAACTAAATGCCATGTTATGGAATGTGGAATAGGAGAACATAGACCTCACACAACCTATAAATTATGTGAGAAATCTATAAAGAATTCTGATAAAGAAAGAGATCTAGGGGTGGTTCTAGATAGAAAACTACTGTATCACCCAAGGATCACAAAAAGAACATTGTGCGAGGAGCCTACACTTTCTAAATTCATAATTGCTTTTAAATATATGGATGGCAAAATGGAATATACAGCGGTTGAATTGGTGCCCATATCTTAAGAAGCACATCAACAAACTGGAAAAGGTGCAAAGATGTGCCACTAAGTGGCTCCCAGCACTGAAGGACAAGAGCTATGAGGAGAGGTTAGAGGCATTAAATATGTAAAAACCAGAAGATAGAAGAAAAAGAAGTGATATGATCACTATATACAAAATAGTAACAGGAATCGATAAAATTGATAGAGAAGAATTCATGAGCCCTGGAACTTCAAGAACAAGAGGTCATAGATTTAAACTAACTAAACATAGCTACCAAAGAAATATAAGAAATTTCACTTTTGCAAACAAACTGGTAGACGGTTGGAACAAGTTAAGTGAGAAGGTAGAGGAGCCCAAAACTGTCAGTAATTTCAAAGCGTTATACAGTAGGGCCTCGATTTACGATAGTAATCCATTCCCAAAGACGTATCATAAATCGAAACGATTTTTCCCATAAGAAATAAAGGGAATTAAATTAATCCATTCCACGCTCTCAAAAATATTAATTTAAAAATAAATTTTATACTGAATACAATTTCTTTTCCTCTAACTACAATACAGTACATATGTTTATCTTACCCTTATGGAGGACTCTTGATGGCATATGGAAGATGGTGATGAGGGGGAGGAGGAGAGGTGTTACCATTTGGAAGGGGAGTCCCCCTTCCATTGTGACATCAGGCAGTGAGGA